CCTCTGGCTCCTAGATCTCTCTTCCCAGTATACATTCTCTCGGCCTGCCAGCCCCACCTATCCTTACTCTTGCCTTGCTATGGCCATACAGCTCTTTATTAGACCATCAGGTGTTTTAGACAGGCACAGTAACACAGCTTCACAGAGCTAAACAAATGCAACATAAACAAAAGTAACACACCTTAAAATAATATTCTACAACAACAGGCAAATTCATAATGACAGAAAAATAGAGGTAACCAAAGGCTGGTAAGAGAATAGAGAAATACTTAGTGATTATAGAATTTCTGCTTGGGATGATGAGAATATTCTGGAAATAGATAGTGGTATGACTGCCAGGCATGGTAGTGCACACCTTCAATCAGACCACTCAGGAAAAGGGAGAAAAAAGTCAAACATTCTAGGCCAGGGCCTGGAGCAATGCATCAGTGGTTCTGAGCACTGGCTGCTCTTCCAGAATCAATTCCCAGCACCCATATGGCAGTTTACAACCATCTGTAACTCTAGCTCTAAGGGATCAGCATCCTCTTCTGTCCTCCACAGGCACCAAGCATGCATGTAGTGCAGAGACATACATATAGGCAAAATAGTTATACACAATAATTTTTTCTGTGTAGTCCTGGCTATCCTGGAACTCACTGTGTACACCAGGTTGGCCTCAAACTCATAGAGATCCTCAGACATGCACACCCAAAGTCAGGAAAATGAACACCACCATCTCAACCTCAAGTGAAGAATGAGATACTTAAAAAATTATTTCAGCAAGCATTTCTAGTATGGGTTGTATATATAGTATATATAAATTATATATATATGTATTATATATAATATTCATTATGCCATTTCATTAACATCACATGTTCATTACCCTCTTTATTACCCCCTCCCCCTCTTCAGATATTTTCCTCTTCTTTTAGGATCCCTTTTCTAATTTCATGACCCCCCATATATATCATTTTAAACCTACAATGAGATATTTAAAGAGAAAAGAATGAGATACTTGAGTGCTTTCCCTATAGTCCATCAAGCAAACAACTTATGGATCAAAAGGGGGGAGTTTAGAAGTGACACAGTTGAAACTGGAGAGAGTCAGCAGTTAAAGAGCACTGGCTGCTCTTCCAGAGGACTGGATCTGACACACCCCAGCACCCACACGGCAGCTCACATCATCTGCAACTCCAGTCCCAGGGGATCTAATGCCCTTGTCTGGCCTCTAGGGCACCAGGCATTCGAGTGGTGCTCAGACAAACATGCAGGCAAAAGACCTATACACATAAAAATAATTTTAAAAAATTTTCAAGTTACCAAGGACTCAGAACACAGCTCAGTGGTAAAGTGTTTGTACAACATCCTCTGCACGAAGGGAAAACATGTCACAAAAGCCGGGCGGTGGTGGCATACACCTTTAATCCCAGCACTTGGGAGGCAGAGGCAGGCAGGCGGATCTCTGTGAGTTCCAGGCCAGCCTGGGCTACAGAGCGAGATCCAGGAAAGGCGCAGAGCTACACAGAGAAACCCTGTCTAGAAAAACCAAAAAGAAAGAAAAAAAAAGTGTCACAAAGTTCAAATCTGGAGCAACAAGAAGAAAGCTGGGAGTACTCACATGGTCGAAAAAATGCACCACGGCGAGCTTTTTGCTGCGCCTGGTGAAGACCCGCTGTACTTTGGCAATTTTGCTGAAGTGCTTCTCCAGGGTGGCCCTGTCATTGAGATAGTCAGGGATGTTCTTGCACTGGATGGCTGTCAGTTCGGAGGGGGACAAGCCCCCCAGGCTGTCAGTGCTCTCACTTCTTTTGCTTTGGCGCACAGATGTTCCCCTGAGAGAATCTAGGAATTCAGAAAGCAGACACGTGAGTTCCCTGGGTAGAACACTTCCAAGCAAAAGGAGTCACGACTGTGTACAAGCAAAGCAAGTGTCCACGGATGGAAGGCGGCCTCAAGGCTCTACGGTAGGATCTCTAATATCTGGTGGGGCTTTAAATCAAGCTAACACCAGGAAACACACAAGAGCTTGGCAGCAGGGTATCCTGTGTTGCACACATCTAGAACTCACCTTCTTTTTCATCTCTACCTTCTGTTTCTTCCTCTTTATTCACAGCAGGAAGCCGAGAAGGTACCAGGGTAGACTGACTTCCTCCTGAGATGGCCATGTGGTCACTTTCCCCAGACTCCACAAAGCCACTTTCCTTTTTAGATTCCTTGCTGCCCAGGCGACCTGCTTCTTTATTGCTTTTGAAGACGTCCTGAATCGTCCGACCAAATAAAGTGCCTCCCCGAGGTCTATTTAGGCGGACAGGTCGTTTATCTGGAGGATGGTCTCCCCGGGACAGAGGGTCTGAGTCTTCTGCTGCCTCATGGCAGTGTCTCCTTGGGGAGCGATCCTGGTCCTCTTTCCTTTTTAGTCCTTTCAAGGGGGTAGGAATTGGCTCCACCAGAGAGATGGCTTCCTCACATCCTTGACGGTTGCCTGTTTTGTTGCCTGGGAAGGGCTCCCCCAAAGATCCAGATGACATGGGGAAAGTGGAGAAACTACTATTGGAACTTCCAAATACTGATTTAGGTCCCCTCTTCTCTTCCTCTACATTTTGGTTAGATAAAGCAGGGGTAAGGACAGATGTCGTATTACTGTTAGCTGGTTTTGAAAAGACAAAATTTGAACTAGTCACCGAACTATTTGTCACCTGGGGAAAAGAAAAAGGGTTCAGGCCTCCAGACCCACTACTAATGGGATGGGAAAATGTGAAAAATCCAGAAGCAATTTGGCTCTGGGTTTTCTCTGGCTCTGACTCGGCGGCCCCCAGTATTGGTCTGAATACTGCATTTTCCAGAGGTTTAAACTTGAATTCTGTTTTCCTAAAACCAGAGCTTGCTACTTCTCCAGTTTCTGCCCCAAAAGCAGAGCCACTTGGGAAAACTCCAACACCAGAGGGTGATTTAAAACTAAATCCTGTATTTCCCGGCACAGATGAACTTGAAGGCCCAGAGGTAGCTGCAAAAGAAGGTGTGGATTCAAGACTAGTAAACAGTCCAGCACTTGAGGTTTGGGCGAGTCCAAATGTTGGCAATGAGGAAGAATGACTTACTCCAGAGGGTGCTGCAAAGTTTGATACCTGTGAAAATCCAAGGCTCTTTCCCAGTGTGTTTTGTCCAAAAAGAGAAGGTTGACCAAATCGAAATGGTGACTTAGTCTGAAATGTTCCTGTGGTACTAGAAGATACGGCAAAGGCACTGGACTGCTGCCCACTGAAGGGGTTCACCGGGTTCATCTTCAACCCAATTATCTTAAGTCAATAAATACACACTCTGTACACAATTAATCCACTTCCTTAAACTATCTGTTGCTTGGGGATGCTCTCCTTCATCCTCAGGATAACCTGAAAAACAAAAGTTCAGAATATGCCAGCATATTTTGCTACAAGTCTTAAAATCACAGATACTCTAAGAACACTTCTTCTTCTTGTTCTTCTTCTTTTTTTTTTTCCTCTTCAAGACAGGGTTCTCTTTATAGCTTTGAAGCCTGCCCTGGAACTCGCTCTGTAGCCCAGGCTGACCTTGAACTCACAGAGATCAGCCTGCCTCTGCCTCCCGAGAGCTGAGATTAAAGGCGTGCTCCACCACCACCCATCTTTCTAAGAATAATTTAAAAGGCAAACGCACAATGGGCCGACCACTCACAGAACCGACAGGTTCTTCCTGTTTTGGACACAGGGTAAGAGAGTACAAATCAATTACTGTGAATGGAGGTTTAAAGGTTTGTTTTGTTAAGACAATGTCTCACTTTGCCCAGGCTTGCCTCAAACTTACTACACAGTCAAGCACAGCATTACGTTCCTTTCTCCTGCCTTAGCCTCACTACCGTTGGGACAACAGGCGTGCCCCACCGGGTCTAGCTACAGCTAAAAAAATCTCAGTAATTAGACGGAAAAACATCACTTACACCAGATTCTTGCGATCTCCAAGGCCAGAGAATTACAATGTAATACTGTAAAATTGTCACTGGTTTGGTTTCCTACCATCTCATTTTTCTCCCAGTAACTCGAACTTGAGATGCCTTGCCCTGGCCTAGATCTAAGTTTTGTTTCCTACGCTTGCAATACTCAAGAAACAAGCCGTAGGGTCGACAGAGACCTTCGGGCGAAGATGGCGAAGCCAGGCCTTCAGCAACTCGGCAGGAACGCAGTGAACTGCGGAGACCGCCGCAGGAGCGGTCCCGCCAGATATCGCCCTGTCGCGAGCGCCCGTATTTATTCACAGTCAACATCCGGTCACCACCAGGCCCAACCCACTATATCAAACAGGCTACTGGCGGCCGGCCCTTAGATGTGTACGGCGGACATCAAATCCGACGGACCGACTTCCGGTCTTCAGCATCCGGCTTCCGCTCTCTGGGGTGTGCTGCTATTAATCTTCCGACAGGCGATCTGCCTGGTTCCCGGCTTCCCGCGCTACCTGCTTCGGTAAGTGTGTGGTGATTTCTTGTTGTGTGGCGTAGATGCACCATGTTCGTGCTTGGATCTACCCAGCCAAGTGTCCGAGAGACGCTGGACCCACAGAGACCCCATCTTTTCACCCACGCTCACCCTTACCTGGTCCTACACCATAGCAACCGCTCCAAAACCACCTTATTCTGCCCACTGTGCCCAGTCTACCGTGTTTCATAGTTTCCTATGGTAAATGTAAATTCCCTTAGAATTGCCGATAAATTCCATCAAATAAAGTTTTTGTATGTATATTTATTTATTTTTTATTTATTTATTAGTTTCTTGAAACAGTTTCTTTGTGTGACCCTGGCTGTCCTGAAACTAGCTCTGTAGACCAGGCTGGCCTTGAACTCAGAGATCCTCCTGCTTCTGCCTCCTGAGTGCTGGGATCAAAGGCGTGTGCCACCACAGCCCAGCAATAAAGTTGATTTATTGTGAGTACGTATGTATTTTTACATAATTTATCACTTTCTACTACTGATGGGTTCTTTTCTTGAACTCTGACTGCAGGTTCCTTCCAACCCCCCCCCCCCCCACGCTTTTTTTTTTTCCGGAGCTGAGGACTGAACCCAGGGCTGGATGTTCTTCCCAAAATGAGTTTGGTGATTAAAAATCTGCAGCGGGTGGTCCCCATCAGAAGAGTACCACTTCGCAGGAAGATGGATATGGTCCGGAGTATTTTAGGAGTGAAGAATTTTGACCTGGGGATCATCTGTATTGACAATAAGAGTATTCAGCACATTAATAGGATCTACAGGAAGAAAAACGTCCCAACTGATGTGCTTTCTTTCCCCTTTCATGAGGTAAAAGAATGTGTTCCTCACATGTAGCCTACCTTTCTTCCAGAAGGGTTCCTGTTAGTTATATTACAGATATGATTATCTCTGATTTTGGAATTTTTTGAAAATGCATTGACATCTGGCCTGGTGTACATGCCTTTATTCCCATCTATTCAGGAAGCAGAGGCAATCACATCTTTGTGAGTTCAAGGCCAGACAGGTCCACATAATAAGCCCCTATCTGCCAGGCAGTGGTGACCCATGCCTTTAATCCCAGCGCTCAGGAGGAGGAGGCAGGTGGATCTCTGAGTTCGAGCCCAGCCTGGTCTACAGAGTAAGTTCCAGGACAGCCAGGCCTACATAGAGAAACCTTGCCTCAAAAAACCTAAAAACAAAAACCTGTATTAGTCAGGGTTCTCTAGAGTCACAGATGGAATGAATATATATATAAAGGGAATTTATTGGAATGATTTAATAGGCTGCAGTCCAACTAATCCAACAGTGACTAGCCGTGAATGGAAAGTCCAAGAGTCTAGTAGTTGCCCACAAGGCTAAGTATCTCCGATGGTCTTCGAAACAGTAGGCTCCAATGACAGTGAAGGACTGGATGTACTGACAAGGTGAGGGCAAGCAGGTGAAGAACAAAACCTTCCTATTCCTAGTCCTTGTAGAGGCGTGGCCCAAATTAAAGATGGGTCTTCCCGCCTCAAGTTCTGGATCAAAGGTGTGTGTCTTCCAGCCTCAAGATCCAGATCACAGGTGTGCCCTCCATTTCTGGGTTGTAGTTCAATCCAGACATAGTCAAATTGACAACTAAGAATAGCCATCACAAGCCCCTATCTCAGAAACAAGCAAATTAAAAACAAAAGAAGTGAAGCAATATGGCCTATGACCCATGCCCATTAAGTTAGTCTGTCCCTAAACATCACAATTCCTCTATGCAGGGACCACTCTCCCTCCCTCTGTGCTATCAGGGAATTCAAATAAGGGCATCTGCAATTTTAAGTGTACCTCAGTAGTGAATGCTTGGATAGAAAAATGGAAAGTAAAAACTGGTAAACATTTTCAACAAATTACCTTGTGATAGCTATAAGTAACTACATACCTTCACCGATTGTTAGCAGCATAAATTATAATAATCCTTTTGAGCGGGCGGAGGCGGTACATGCCTTTAATCCCAGCACTGGGGAGGCAGAGGCAGGTGGATCTCTGTGAGTTCCAGGCCAGCCTGGTCTACAGAGCGAGATCCAGGAAAGGCTACAACAGAGAAACCCTGTCTTGAAAAACCAAAAAAAAAAAAAAGACTTAAAATGTGTATATGTCATAACTACCAGTATCACACCTACAGAAGTAAATCCAAAGAATAAAGAAGGTACATGTGTCTAAATGTTCACCTTATTGATTTCCTTAATGGGAGAAAAATGGAAGCAGGCAAGCAGGTAAAAAAAATGTGATTGTGTCCATATGCCAACTTAACTATATAGAATTCAACTTACTTTGGTAGGGATAATAGAAATGGAAAGTAAATAATTTGATGAGATCACAGCATGTGAGGGCCATTGTGTGTAATAACTATGTATTCCACCCCCTCGGACTCTTTGATGGTACTTAGCCTCCATCGTGTGGTTTGAGCATCCTGTGGTCAAGAGTCCTCTGTCCTCTGCTGGACAAGTGAGCCACATCCTTGTATTTGGGCTACTGTTTGAAAGGCCTCCAACTTTGTTTCCTCATTTTCAGAATCTGAAAGCAGGTGAATTTCCTCAGCCATACTCACCAGATGATTATAATTTGGGAGATGTTTTTCTAGGAGTGGAATATATCTTCCAGCAGTGCAAAGAAAATGAAGATTACTATGACATCCTAACGGTAAGCGGGGATGCAAAATTACATGTGCTTGCTAACAAAACTCAAGCCATAGAGAAGGTTGAGAAGGAGACTCCTATGTGCACACTAGTATCCACAGGTACCTTTGTATTACTGCCTCCCCTTTCTTGTATTTAGCCTCTCCTTGCTGGGTAACCTTTTTTTTTTTTTTTAAGAGATGTAGGCTCAGGCTAGAGGGATGACTCAGTGGTTCAGTGGTTAATAGGATGCACTGTTCTTCAGAGAACCTGAGTTCTAGTCCCAACACCCATGGGGTGTTTCACAGCTGCCTGTAACTCCAGCTCCAGGGAATCCAATGTCCTCTTCTGGCCTCCCAGGGCATCTGTACTCATATGCACATCCACAGACACAGGCACACAATTTTAAAATAAATAAATGAAAATATGTAGTCACTACATCGCCTAGGCTGGTCTTGAACTCTTTTTTTTTTTATTTTTTTTTTTTTTTTGGTTTTTCGAGACAGGGTTTCTCTGTGTAGCTTTGCGCCTTTTCTGGGACTCACTTGGTAGCCCAGGCTGGCCTCGAACTCACAGAGATCCGCCTGGCTCTGCCTCCCGAGTGCTGGGATTAAAGGCGTGTGCCACCACCGCCCGGCGGTCTTGAACTCTTTGGTCCAGTTAATACTTCCCCTCATCCTGCTAGATCTGGGACTACAACCATGGGCCACTCTTCCTCCCTGCTTAATTCTAATTAGATTCCCAATACTGCCTCAACAGAGATAGTCAACTCTCTTTACCTATGCCCAGGCTCAAACAGTGTTGCTCCACACTAATTAAGTGAACTGTGGGAAATGTTCCATTTTAAGATAGGAAGGAACTGAGGATAGAATGTCGCTCAATGGTGAGCACTTGCCTAGACAGGAAGGAACTGAGGTATTTTAATTTCTGCACAGTAAAGCAACTGTATGTCCTGCTCCAGTGTCCTGGCAGAGGACAACTCAGTCTTACAGGGGTAGTCTGTGACCCTGAAGGGGCAGCTTTCTGGTAGATTATCCCCTGAGCTGACTTCTCATTTACTCTAACAGGTGACAGCCACCCATGGACTCTGTCACCTTCTGGGCTTCACCCACAACTCCGAGGCTGAGTGGCAAAAGGTAAGAGCAATGCCCGTGCAAGGGGCTTCGTGCTACCCACAATGTAACCCTAACCCCTAGGCTATTGCCCAGGCCCATGCACCTCATCGCAAGAGACAGGAACTATGGCCTCCATCTGTGTGGCCTAAAAAAATGAGGTAGTAGCTGGGCAGTAGTGGTCCAGACCTTTAATCCTAGCACTAGGGGAGGGGAGGCAGAGGCAGGAGGATCTCTGTGAGTTCGAGGCTAGCCTGGTCTACAGAGTGAGTTCCAGGATAGCCAGGGCTACAAAGAGAAATCCTGTCTCAAAAACAAAACAAAAAACAAAACCAAACAAAAAAAAAAAGCTGAGGTAGTGTTTTTAAGTACCTGGTTCCTTATGATACTTGTATAGTTCCCTGCTGAAAGGCACCTGAACAGACAGATTAAAAGCTAAATTCCCTGAAATGCTTTATTGATGGGGGTCAGGAGATGCTTAATATTTAGAAGAACCTCACACATACAAAAAACAAACAAAAAAACTTACCTGTCAGTTGGCTACAGGTAATGTGAAGCAGTGGTTCTTCTTTTTCTAAAGGCCAATGAGTACTACATTTATAAAGTCCTCTACGGTGTCTAATAGGCTTAGGTTATGTTTGTAGGCAAATATTCTATTGCTCAGAATGAACTTTAAAAAAAAAAAAAAAGATTTTCTGTTTATGTGTGTGTACCTTCATGAGTTTATGTGCACCATGTGTGTGCAGGTACCTGCCGAGGCCAGAAGAGGGAGTTGATTTCCTGGAACTGGAGTTGCAGTGGTTGTGAGCTGCCTGATGTGGATGCTGGGAGCCAAACCCAGGCGATCTATAAGAGCAGTAAGTGCTCTTAATTACTAAGCTATCTCTCCAGCCCCCATGAATAAACTTTTTTTTTTCTTCAATTAAAAATAGATCCCCTTCTGGCTCTGCTACCACCCAGCTCTTTCTATGCCCACTCTCTCACTGCTCCACACTTCCCTGGTCCCCTTGGGTATCCCAGCTTCTCCCCCACCCTTTGAGGACCCACTCTCTGCTGTCCTTACTCCTTTGTCCCTCCTGTCCACCCATAGCTCTTTCCGTCTCTGTTCAGGTGCTACCCTTAGACTTGTGCAGAGCTGAGATGGGGGCTTGTGCAGAGGGTGAAATCTGGGCGGAGTCTGGCCCAGGACAAGGGTCCCAGGAGTGCCCTCTTGTCAGCTTGTGTGCTGCTGTGTTCCAGATGTACAGTCAGGAGAAGCTGGTGCTGGAGGAACTAAATCGCTGCACCGGAAGCAGGCTCCAGCCCCTGAGCAGGGGCCTCTACTAATGCTTCGATGCCCTGAGATAGCGAAGTTGATGAACAGAGTCCTGCCCCTCCAGGGCGGCTCTCTGCCGGTCATGCCATCCTGGATGACATCAGCCCACACTAAAGTTTAGTCCCGTGAGTGGAAATTGGCTTCAGAAAGTACCGAAGAGGTGTCTGACTGGTTCTTGCTCTGTTTAGAAGACTGTCTTGATTATTGTAAACAGTAGTTCTAGGCCATTTCTAAGAGAAGAAACACGTAAGTTCTGTATGCTTCTGTGGGTTTCTAGTGGCAGAGTTTGGGTGGACTGCCCTGTCTCCCTGAAGTGGAACCCACGTCTCAGAACACTGAAATCTGTTCTTCCTAGGAGACCGGGCACCTGCAAGAGAAGCAGACTCAAAAGGGCAAGGCTCCCACCCCAGCCCTCAGGAACTCTGTGACCTGAACCTTGTTTGCGCCACTCCTAAGAGCTACTATATGCCCTCACTTTTCTTAAGCCATTGGCTACAAACACCATAAGAAAGCCCAGTGACCTACAAAGCCCGTCTCCCAGGGGCCAGAGATTCAGTCAGGCCCATCTCCAATCCCCTTATCATTGTTGTTATTTTAATTTGATGTATGTGTATGTGTATGGGTGCACATATTCCACAGCATGCTATGGTGATATTTTATTTGTACTGAAATGTGATTTTATTTGTATGTTAATAAAGTTGCCTGGGGGTCAGAGCTAATAGCAAGCCATAGCAGAAGCCAGGCAGTGGTGGCACATGCCTTTAATCCCAGCACTTGAGAGACAGAACTAGGCAGATCTCTGTGTGTTCAAGGACACAGCCAGCATGGAGACATACGCCTTTAATCTCAATACCAACCTTCAAAGACCTGGAGGTCTGTTTAGACAGGCAGTGACTAGGAGGTCATGTGGTTGGGTTTACAACCAATGAGAAGGCAGAACAGAAAGTCAATAAAAGGACAGACACACAGGAGGTAGGTCTCTTTCTGAGGGAAGGACAGTGGCAGCTAAGGGTAAGAAAGGCAGTTTTAGCTGGGCGGTGGTGGTAGGCCAGCCCGGTCTACAGAGCGAGATCCAGGAAAGGCGCAAAGCTACACAGAGAAACCCTGTCTCGAAAAACAAAGAAAGGCGGTTTTAAGTCTCAGCTCTCAGCTGCTGCTCTGACCTCTTGGGCTTTTAACTGCAATTGGCTCTGTTTCTTATTTAATAAGACTGTTCATCGACAGCATGCACGTGTAGGTTAGAGGACAACTGGGCGAAGATGGCTCTCTCCTTCTATGCTGTGAGTCCACAGGTTGTCAGGCTGACAGAAAGTTTTTACGTCTGAGCCATCCCACTGCCATCGCGTTGGCCCTTGTGGTCCTGCTGCTGGGGCTCCTCCTACTGGCTGTTAGAAGCATGATACCTGCTCAAGCCCTGGAGCGTGGAATTCTGGTCAAGTTGAAGTTCAGCTTTCCTGGACATGCTGAATACCTATGCAAGTCTGGACCACTTGTCTTCCCAGCATGTAGCCAATAACCTTGGGTCTAGATAGGGTTTTCTGACCCCTCTGCTGTGTCTACCCTCATCTACCTGTGCCGGCCCATTTTCTCCTTCACAGTCATCTAACTTGTTTATCATCTTTGGACAATGCTTCTGCGTTTCTTTTTCTTCTGTTTGGTATTTCTGATCTGGTTTGGTGGGTGTTTTTTTGGTTTGGTTTGGTTTTGCAGTGCCAAGGATGGAATCCAAGGCCTTGCCATGCTTAGCAAGTGCTCCACCACATTCCCAACCCGTTGCTCTGCTGACCAAATACCTGAACCCAGCCACTCTGGGGTGGCTCCCAGCCTGTAGCGGCAGGTTCTGTCTTGCTGCTCCAGGAGGTCCTCTGTGTTACTTTGTTAGTTTGTGTTTGTTCCAGAATCAATCCCCCACTTCTGCCAAGGATCTAAGATTCTGATCAGAGTTACATGAAATCTATGGATTGGTTGCTAATGTGAAAGTTCCAGCCCATGCGTGGACCTGGTTGCTCACATCCCTGGGCCATCTTTAAAATCTCTAGGGAGTGCTGTACAGCTTCTCAGGCTACAGGTGTGCACAACGTGCCCTCAGTCCCCATCACCACAGCTAAGGGGCATGGCCAGGAAAAGCTTCTTCCCCCAGCCACTAGGGAGCCCTAAGCCCACTACAGAGAGGCTGCTCAGACTCTTCAGTCTCCCACACATGGGCCTCAAACAACTGCCTTGACGGGGACTAGGAAGACTGAATGTGAGGGTGCGTCCATGCACGCTTCCCCAAGCCCATGGTGCTCATAGAGCCAGGGTACTCGGAGTGCTGGCATCCTTCCTCCTTGTTAACCCAGCAACGCCAGGCCGTCCAAGACAAACAACATCTGTCAAATGTCTTCCCTCTATCAATAAATTAATAATTATATGAGAGAAAAATCATGTTAGAAATCATCATGAAAAAAGGAAATTGTGTGAGGTCTTTAATTGATGCTTTTAACAAAAACTAGATTCTCTGAATTCATACCCTAATGCACACTGAAAGGTGGTTCTGTAGGAAGGGGATGTCACCACCCTGAAGCTTCCTGGGGAGTGTGTTGCATTGTCTTGTTCATCCACATGGACATCTCATCACTGTCTTCACTGTGTGGAAGCCACGTCAGCCACAGGGAAGGTCCACGCAGGGTTAACTGGCAACTCGGAACCATCTTGCCTCTGACCTGTGGGGTTCCAAGGATTCAAAAGCAGAGACCAGCTTTTTTGTTGGCAATGTAGCAAATGAAAAAGCTTAACCTCAAGCAATGAAAGTTACTATAATACTTGAAAATAGCATCTGCAGAGGCAGGTGGAATGTGGCACTCCAGTGATCCCAACAACTAGAGAGGCTGAGACAGGAGAATTACAAGTTTGAGGCCAGCCTGAACAACTGGGTGAAATATTGTCTCAAAGTGGTAAAAGGGCCATGAATGTTAACATAATGGAAGAGTACTTGGCTAGTGTGCTCAAAATCCTGGGTTCAATCAAGTATCACAAAATAATAAATCTTTAAAAATAAAACATTAAGCCAGGTGTGGTGGTGCACTCCCAGCCAGCACTCAGGAGGCACAGAAAGGTGGATCCTTGTGAGCATAGGCCTGCCTGGTCTACATAGTGAGTTCCAGGACAGCCAGAGCTACATAATAGACCTCTCAAAAAAAAAAAAAAAAAAAAAAAAAAAAAAGAACAAAAGCCATTAGAACAACAAAGAAGTTAGACATGGTTAGCCTTACCCTTAGTCTCAGCACTCCGAAGTCAGAGGCAGGTGGAGCTCATGGAATTTGAGTTCAAGGTCACCCAGGACTACACGGTAAGACCCTGTCTCAACAAACAAACAGAAAAAGGAGACGGGCGTGATTGTACATGCCTGAAATCCTAGCAGCACTCAGACTGAAACAGGAAGACTTAAGTTTGTTGTCAGCCTGGGCTCGAAAACCAAGCAACAACGAAACTGAAACCAAAAGGGAACCGATTTTACCAAAACAACAGAAAAACACCAGGAAGTCAAGGAAGCATGCACACATACATGAAAAGAACCTGACAGGACCAGGGGACAGGTGGGACAAGGAAAGCCATCATCCTCCCTTTAGGAGCCAGGGTTCAGTCTGTGTGTGGCTTCTGGGAAAATGCCTTGTAAACTGTGTGCATCCATCCATATTTATATATACAGCCTGCAGGCCACACGTGTTCACACCTCATACATGTTTCTTGTGGTTTTTTTGTGTTTTTTTTTTTTTTTTTTTTTTGGTTTTTGTTTGTTTGTTTGGTGTTTTTCGAGACAGGGTTTCTCTGTCTGGCTTCGGAGCCTCGAACTCACAGAGATCCGCCTGCCTCTGCCTCCCCAGTGCTAGGATTAAAGGCGTTTCTTGTGATTTTTATATGTGTATGGGTGTTTTGCCTGAACGTGTATATGTATACCATATGTTTGCCTGATGTCCTTGGAAATCAGAAAGGACATTGAATCCCCTGGAACTGGAGTCACAGATGTACTGAGTTGCCACGTACTGGGAACTGAACCTGGGTTTTCTGCAAGAGCAACGAACGGTCTTAACTCTTAACCATTGAGCCATCTCTCTAGCCCTTTCTTGTTTGTTTGTTTGTTTGTTTGTTTGTTTTATGTGACAGAGTCTTTCTGGCTGTCCTGGAAATAACTACGTAGACCAGGCTGGCCTCGAACTTAGTCATCTGCCTGCCTCTGCCTCCCTAGTACTAGGACTAAAAATGGGTGCCACCATGCCCAGCTCCTGATTTTATTTGTCATTACATGTAATCAATCAGCCATGGAGGTGGGGTGTATGCACACCACAGTACAGTTGTGGAGGCCAGAGGGACAACCTGCAGAAGTTGGTCCTTCCCGCCACCACCCCGCCATGTCCTGGGGATAAAACTCAGTTATCAGACTTGACAGCAAGCACTTTTAGCTGCTGAGCAGACTTGTTGGCCCTGCATGTTTTAACTGAAACCACATCACACGTTCTTCAGCTTGCTTCTTTCACTTTAGAGTGAAGTGACCGTTTCAGGCATGACAATCGGGTCTTCCCCAGTTACTGTATTTGACTTTCTCCTGGTTTGTGTGTGGGCATGTGTAGCACATCAGGGCCTCACACGTGTTCAATAGACTGTCTGCTACTGAGCTCTGTCTCCGGCCTCAATTTGACTCTCATTCCAGCCTTCCATAGGAATGTTAAAGTGTGTATGTAGTTCTAATGATTTATTCTGATCTGGAACTGTTTTTCTTACAAGTCTTCCATAATAAAATGTGTTTCACCTGGGGGAGGCCTTGGTCGCCTAGCTTTCCCAGATGGCCCTGGAGAGTAATCAAGACTGGAAGACCATGATGCTTCCTGAGATAGGCAAATGGCCCGACCCACCTGGAAAGGCAGCATGGTTTTCAGTGCAGCTCCAGGGGAAAATCCAGGGTGTCAAATGAGGGGTGCCCTGGGACCTGGGCTGAGGTGAAGGTCACTCTATGGAACCAGTCCTGCTGGGCTGTCAAAAGATCTAAGACACAGCTTTCCCAGAGGGTGACATGGCTCCACATTGACGGGCAACTGGGGCTGAGACCTGCAACTGAAATTTTTTCCTGGCTCCTTCTAACTAGCCACAGTTCAGTGGTCTAACCACAGGGTGCATGTGCTCTTCAGCACACATTGAGGAGTGGTGACCAGGCCCATCTTTCCACTTACCTGCTGCAAGACACTAGCTTCCTCCCTCTAGACTTCCGTGCTAGGGGTAGCTGGGATGGGAAGTAGTCGGCTCCGTCAGGTGGCTCACAGTGGGCAAGAAGCTGGCTGCATGTGGGAGGGCAGTGGCTGCAACCACTGGAGGCCACCCCGAATATCCGGAAGGGGCGCCTGTGGAGGCAGCCTGCAGCTGGGTGGGGGGTGTATAGTGGTGGTGGTGGTGCACTGGGGGTGGCTTCTGCTTTTCAGCTCGCAAGACTCCATGGTGTGCCCATCGTTGGTCCTGACAGAATACACAGCCAGGTCAGGACTGCAGCATCCTTTCCCTATACCTGGGCCCAAACTGTTGGGAAGGGCCGCAGAATGTGATGGGAGTACAACCTGGACATAGAGTTCTCTGTGCCCCAGCTACATTGCTTATTCCTCATGCAGAGGGACTGGGGACATTGCCTTCACCACATACCCACAAGCTAGAGAAACTCTTGCACCAGTACCCAGGAGCATCCCCCAGCCAATGACTAAATCTCAGCACCCAAACCTACCTGGAGGGTAGTAGCACGTGGCCCTGTGGGCCCAGGTGGCAGAGCTTTGAGCATCATGTTCTGCATGAGGATCTGGTGCATCTGTGCATTCTGCATTAGCATCATCTCCACCATGTCTAAAAGGAGAGTCAGGTCCTTATTCATATGTTGGCACCTGATGACAGGCTCTACTCTGAAACTAACTGCCCCTTACGCTTGTTAAAAGCAGGTGTGGAGCCTGGCGGCACTGGAGAGTGTTCGGGCTAATGGGTCTGTGTTTTTATTAAGGAGGAAAGGGAAGGTTAGAGGTAGAGAAGACAAGGGAGGTCAGGTGGAATAGAAAGAAGCTGAAAAGATCTCCCAGTCTCCAGAGGGAGGGTAGCCCTGCCCAGCCCTGAAGTGATTTGTTACTACAGTACAGAGTGCGTATCACTCAATGACACACGTGCCTGGCAACATTCTAACTTTTGACAGCGTAATGGACAAACATTAGTTTTCCCCCACAGCAACTAGACTCTGTAAACAGAGTATTGGGACTCTGTCAGCCTCCCTAAAGAAACATCCCCCAGGGCCACCTTCTCAACCAAAGGAACAGCAAAGCCCTGAGTCTCAGGGTGGGGCTCAAATAGAAGCACCAGGACCTGGACAGCCCAGGCCAGGCCATAGGAGCAAGGTAGGAAGCCAGACCTCTGCTGTGACTCCCCTGCAAGACAAAGACAAGTCAAGAGGCTAAGTGACAGTCCCACTCAGAACAAAGACTCTGGGAGCTTTGGGTGAGGCCCCCACCCAGCAGTAGCAGTGGGAGGTGCTCTGGAAGGGAAGGTTGCCTAAGTCAAGCTGTTTGGACGCCCTTGTTAGAGTCTGGCAGGACTAGATAAGAGATCAGATATCATCATCCATGCTCTGTGATATCATTCAATCCATCACTGGCTACAATGTGGATACGCCTTAGGTACAGTATACTAACTACACTAAGCCAGTCACAGACAAAAATTATACGACTCCAGTTACATACTCAAACATGTCAAATTCAGAAAAACCAAGAAAAATGGTGGCTACAGAGACTGGGGGAGGGGGGATTTCAAGTGTTTAAAAAACTTGTTGGGCAGTGATGGTGCGTGCCTTTAATAGCACTTGGGAGACAGAGGCAGGCAGATCTCTGAGTTCAAAGCTAGACTGGTCTACAGAGCTAGTTCCAGGACAGCAAGAGTTACCAGAGAAACCCTGTCTTGAAAAACAAAAACTCCTTTAATTATTTGTTGTAGTACAACAATACCATTTAATTCACACCACTGAAATGTACATCTGTGGTGGTTTGAATGTAACTGGCTACCATAAGATCACAGGGAGTGGCACTATTAGGAGGTGTGAGCTTGTTGAAGTACATGTGGCCTTGTTGGAGGAAGTATGTCACTATGAGGGTTGGCTTTGGGGTCTCCTATGCTCAAGCTACACCTACTTCAGACCACTTCCTGTTGTCTATGGGATCAAGAATTAGCTACTTCTCCATTCTCAGCTCCTTCTCCATCACCACGTCTGCCTGCATGGGGCCATGTCTCGCCATGATGATAATGGACTAAACCTCTGAGGCTGTAAGGCACCCCATTAACTGTTTTCCTTTATAAGAGTCGCTGTGGTCATGGTGCCTCTTCACAGCAATAGAAACCCCAGCTAAGACAACATCTAACAAATAGTTTGTGTGTGCTTTGTTTGTTATTGTTAGTTTTGAGACAGGGTCTCTCCATGTAGCCCTGGCTATCCTGGAACTGCTAGAGATCTACCTGCTCTGCCTCCCAAGCACTGGGACTAAAGGTGTGTGCCACTAAGTCTGAAAAAGCCATTTCTTGTCTGATCTTACAGCCCTCAGTCTCTGGAAAGGGCATCTAGTTCTTTGTTAATTCAGACGAGCCTCCAGCCGATCAAAGCCCCACAGAAGCAGAAAATAAACAACTCACAAGTCTCAGGAAGTTTTTGAAACCTACCAGATATACAAAGTACCTCCTTCCACAGTTATATAAGCAGTAAGGAATGCTGAGGAGTTCAGACCAGCCAAGCCGCCTGGAAGAGTTGGCCTGTTGATTTGCAGAGCTCTGGGATTCCAGCTTTCCTGAGTCATTATCCACCCTGGGGTGGACTTTTGGTGATCTGGCTGCCTGTTGTCCTTGTTTCTGTAAGTAACCCTAATAAACTCATTGATTAACCAAGTTGGACTTTAGTGGTATTGTTACCCTTGTCTGTTACTGGTTCTCTATCTGGGATGAACAGATGTTTATGTTGCATCTCACCAGGTAAAGGGTCACCCAACACCTACTTACAAAAATATTTTCCCTTTCAGTATATAATTTCACAAACCTAAGGTAATAGCAATCTAGAACACATACGCACCTTCCTTGATACTTCCCGATCTTTGAGTGGGAAAGGCCTGAGGAGGAGAAATCTGTGCAATTAGTGGCTGCTGGGGTAGCTGCTGAATGATGGTGGCAGGAGGCTGGGGGACCTAAGAAAGGCCAGTTGATTAGTTATATGAATGTATAGTCTTCACAAGTATCCTCCATCCATCCATCTGCACACTTAACCATCTGCTGTGGGATGTTCTGTACGGCAAATGTGTTGCTCTGATTGGTCAATAAATAAATCACTGATTGGCCAGTGGCTAGGCAGGAAGTGTAGGCAGGACAAGGAGGAAAATAAAGCTGGGAAGTGGAAGGCTGAGTCAGAGAGACACTGCCAGCCGCCATGATGAGAAACAGCATTTGAAGATGCCAGTAAGCCACGAGCCATGTGGCAAGGTATAGATTTATAAAAGTGGATTAATTTAAGCTGTAAGAACAGTTAGCAAGAAGCCTGCCACGGCCATACAGTTTGAAACCAATATAAGTCTTTGTGTTTACTTGGTCGGGTCTGAGCGGTTGTGGGACTGGCGGGTGGCAGAGATTTATCCTGACTGTGGGTCAGGCAGGAAAACTCTAGCTACAACCATCCATCCACCCACCCAATCATTTATCCATCTTCATAGCTCATCCATTTATTTTGCCCTCCTATCTATCCACCTATCCATCCATCCATCCATCCCTCCATCTATCATCCTCCTGAAGAGAAATTTAAATTATTAACACTGTAAGTTAAATAAACAATTGAATAGAAAATTTTTTACATCTGGTTATCATTAGGACTTGGTCTTGTTTTTTCGTTGTTGTTTTTGAGACAAGGTCTGCCTGTGTAGCTCTGACTGGCATAGAACTCACTATGTAGACCAGACTGGCCTTGTGCTTGTGGTGGTCCTTCTGCCTCTGCCTCTGCCTCCAGAGTATAGGATGTAAGTATATACCACCGCATCCAGCATGTACATGATATTTTTAATGTTTCTCATGTTTCCTACCTTCAGGAATGTAGTTAATGTCTGGTTAACTTTGCTTTAATAGACTTAACATTTGATGTGTCTTTTAACTTTTATGCATTTAGGCAGGCGTGTAGTGGAATTTCGTGGTGTAGGGAGTCTAGGGGTAGACCTGCTTGATGCAAGTCAGGTGACAAATCTTCCAGGGTCTTGGCTATTGTAGTACCATTACCGACTCCGCTAATTACTACAGCTCTCACATATATGGCAGGACATATGTGGACCTTGTGCACAGATAACCTCTGGTTTCTCTTCTGAGGGAAGTAAATGTGCAGCAGTTTCAAGCGAACACCAGAGAGACTTTTAATCCTCCTTAAAAGTCTAGAATGAACTTGCCCCTTCTTTCTATTCATGGAGTCAGTGGCCTAGACCATACTTGGGAGCTTTCTCCACAGAGGTGTAGTGAATTGGGGCTCATGGGCCACGTGGGCTCAGTTGTTAAAAATAAGAACAGCCAGAGACAGATGTCAACATGCATCCTTATCAGTAACCATTTCATGAAAATCAAAATGCATCCTCCTGTGTTACAAGGTATTTCTCTTCTTTTTCTCTGCAAATATGTAAGAACATGAAACTGGCCAGGTTGTGGTGCATGGGTTTAATCTCAGCACTTGGGAGGCAGGGATAGGAGGCAGGATCTATATAGTGAGGTAAGCCTGAGTGAGTCCTGGCCTGCCAGGGATACATAGTGAGGCCGAGCCTGTCTTAAAAACAAACACAATGGTCCTGACAACAGGTAAAAACACAGGCTAGCCGGGCGGTGGTGGCGCACGCCTTTAATCCCAGCACTCGGGAGGCAGAGCCAGGCGGATCTCTGTGAGTTCGAGGCCAGCCTGGGCTACCAAGTGAGTCCCAGGAAAGGCGCAAAGCTACACAGAGAAACCCTGTCTCGAAAAAACCAAAAAAAAAAAAAAAAAAAAAACAACCAAAAAAAAAAAAAAAAAAAAAAACACAGGCTAGAACATCTGGAACCTGGGTACAGATAGCTCACCAGCAAAGGGAGTTCTGTGGGATCCATTCCCTCCACTAAGTGCTGCTGCCTGTTTTCCTGCCCACAGGACAGATGTCTTCCAGGTCACCAACATGTCCAGAACTTTTTCTCTTGTGCCTATTCTCCTTATTCCTGCCCTGAGTCCCAAACAAATGTCTCACCTGGGCCTCCTAAGTCCTATGCTTAAGGATATTCTTTCTGAGCCAGCGGGATGCTTAGCAGGTAAAGGTATTCACCAAGAGACTTGGCAACTTGACTTTGATCCCCAGAACCCATATAATAGTGGAAAGACAGAACCTATTCCACAGTTTTGCTCTCTGACTTCCACATATGTACTGCGGTACATGTGTCCCACATATGCATTCCATGCACACACACACACACACACACACACACACACACACACAAACAGTACATACAATTTAAAAAGTATATATCATTTGCCCAAGACGTCAGTTGATTTCTGTTGCTTGTGACTCAGAATGCTGTGTGCAGGCCACACCACATAAAGCTCTCAGAATGGTATACCCTGCTGTTTGTAACTCTGTCCCTAAGTCAAGGGCTTAAGCATCCCTGGTCACTGTGAGGGATGTGTATTAAAGGGTTGTGCTTCTCTGAATTCAGGGTCCACTGGTGCTAAACTCCCCTGATCCTTCCAATGCAGCTGTTAGATGGGTCCATCCTGAGAGTTGGCCATCCCTAAGCCAGTCCTCCATGTATTTCCCCAGATGACCCATGGTACCATGGGCAGCAAATGAAGCTGCTATTGGCTCTTAACAGATTGAACCTCTCCAGAGCTCTGGCATCCTGCTGGGACCTCCTGGAAAAGAAATGAGAGTGTCCTTGGCCTCCCTTTCTGGAAGTAGGAGGGAAGGGAGAGACACCTGTGGCCTCCCTGATTGGAAAGCCTGCTGGCAATACGGTGCACTTCTGCATGGCTATGAAGTCTCATTTCTGACCCTCCTACCCCACTAGAAGCTGCTGTTACCCAAGAGCCCTACCGGGGCCTGGATGATCCTTGGTGGCTCTGGTGGTCGGGGCAAAGGTGGGGAAGCAGCAGGGAAGGCTTTCACGGGAGGCACCTCTGGGTTCAGGGCTGGCACCGTGGTTCTCTCGTGTGTCCTCCTCCAGGCATGGGCTGGGGAGTGCTCATTCATCAGCTGCTGTTCCTAAAAGGTTGACAGCCTGTTGGTTATAAAGCCATCAGCAGAGGACCCTGATTCAACCTATGAACCTCACTGGGTGAACAGGCTCTCACCAGTATGGTTTCCCCATGCCTCACCCCTGCCAGGGACTATGGCACCCAAATGTTCAAGGCGGAGTCCCTGGAACTAGGGATCTTTTTGTCCCTCTTCCCAATGTGACCATATTGAATAAATCATTTTTTCTACTCTCCACTGTTAATTTGACTTCTAATTGACTTATTGAGAATGGGTGGCCAAACTGGACTTGGGACAAAGGTTATGACCCCAAGTTCAATAATACTCCTTAGGAAACACTTGGAAATTCTGATTCTCTTAACATGTACCAAATACTTGTAATATGTTTCTAGCTGTTATTGTTTCCCAGCCAACAATCTAATGGTTCTTCATGCTTGTAGGTAGCTATCCCACTGTGAAAAGAACAAACCTCTAGTCCTAGGGGATTGTGGGGATGACACCCATACAGATGCTTCTACACATGGCCACTTCTTGCTGCTGGCCAGTTTAGTTTATGTGAGCTCTGTGTCCTGTGGGAATGGGCCTTGACTCATTGCCTGCTCTGTGACAGTGACCTAAGCAGTTTCTAAGCTCACATACTGCCTATACCTGACATTTACCTTCTCTAATGTCCTCAGAGAAGTGATGGGCTGGGAGTATTAGTCTCTTAAACGCTCACAGTTTCAGTTACCAGCCCCCGATTTGCAAGCATTAGCTAACTGACCCCAGGAGTACAGACAAGCATTTGTTGCAGTCTCCTAGCCAATGTATTAGCCCACGGAGAGTTAGGCCCCGGGTTAGGCAGGTGGACAGGCCTACCCAGAGTTTCTGTAGAAGGTCTTTCCTTCTCCTCAAAGCACGCTGCAGGGCAGTGTCTGGCTTTTCCTGCTGTCCTGGGTGGAGAAGGCACACATCACTGAGGAGTATATCCTGGCTGGTAGCTCTGGCGGAGTGCCCCAACTTCCCGGCACCCTGGGATTCAGAGTAGTCTGGAGCCTGCTGAGCTCATATCTGTCATAAACATCCATTCCAAAGAAGGAGGGACCAGGGCTGGGGCAGGGAGAGAGGGGGCTATGGTAGAGAGGGGAGGACTTGGTTAGTCAGCCCAGTGCACTTTCTTGGTCCTGAAAGGCACTGAAAGTCAATAGAACAGCTCTCTCTTAGTGCTCCAGCATTCTGTACTACAGGAGGCCTCCACAGGCCCAGTCATGCCTCCATAGCCCTGGCCTCAAGCTGTCTGGAAAAGACAGGCATGCTCACCAACTGGAGGGAGAAGGTCTTACTCCAGAGAAAGCTCTGGAAAGAGCATGCTTGCCCTGGCATCCTAATGGAGCTGGGATTTTGATGATGCCTGGACAGCTTTACCTGGGACACCCTTTGGCACATGTGTGGCCATTGGGTTGTGTAGAGGTGCCCTGGATCATGTGGCCTGGTTTGCCAATTTCCATCTAGATTTGAGGCTCCCAGGTCTGGCCAGCTGCAGTCAGTGTTCCCAGAGTTACCCACAGTATGAATACTCCATGTTTTAAAGAATAAGGCATGTTCCTCTGGCCTTGGATCCTCATTCAGATGTCCATAAACCCATATTCTGGTCCCAGGTACTGAGAAGGATAAGACTGAGCTCCTGCCCATCCCTGGAGTCAGAGCAATATGAATCTGAATTGGTTGGGACAATTTTTGCACCAAGCAATCTGTCACATGACCCCTCTGTGCCTATATTTCCTCATTTATGAGATGTATTCCCTTTCTCTCTAAGAGTCTTTGGCGAAGGGTGCAGCATGTGTGCATGCATGTGTGCATGCCAGTGTGTGTGTGTGTGTGTGTGTGTGTGTGTGTGTGTGTGTGTGTGTGTGTGTGCTGTTTTACAGGTGAAAACAAAAGCCAAGGCCTGCTCTGTGCTCTGCCTGCCACACCTCTGATCTATTCTCCTTCCTACTTGTATGTGCCCAAGCATCTTAAAGCTCTTACCTGCTCTGTCCATGCTTTCACGTTCCTGTTCCAGCATCTGTGAGGAGGAAACTGTGATGGGGACTTGGCTCCAGATTGGTGAGTGGAGTCTGTGCTGCCCACCTGCCTGTGTAGCTGATATTCCAAAAGCTATAGGAGTGGTCAGCACCCCAAAGGAAGTAGGGAGGGCAAGAGGCACCTTCCAAGTGAGTAGATGGGGCAAGGGTCACCATTCTATTAAGGATTATTCCGGTCATGTTCTCAAACATAATGCATGCCGTCCATCTTAAACCCAAAGTGGTTTAAGGGGCCCCAAGGTGATGATCTGTTGAGACACAGTAGGACATCCTAATGTACACTGATGGACACCAAAGGGTTTCCCTGCTGGAACCCAAATGGGACATCTTGAAGGGCTCCAAGAAGGATGCTCTGGACAGATTTCTGAGTAGCAACCTTGCAGAGACAGTTGGTATCCAGGGCCAGCGGGGCCCTGAACTAGGGGTTCCAGGGTTGGTAATAGGTAGGAAGGAGAAGAGGAACAATGCAGGCAGATATGGGCCCTACGCTTCATTGCTTGCCAGGGCAGGCATGTTGGTCATTGATCACTGAGAATTTCATAGATGGTCGAAAAGGTGGAGAAGACTAGGCATGACCGGGTTTTTCCCTGGGGATGTTGGGCTCTATCTCCACAGTGAGGAGTATCCCTTTAAACACGAGCCTGGAGGTACAGGAACTTTATAGGGATATGCCCCAGAAGTACGCTTGCTGGAGGGACAGCCTGCCTCCTGACTTTGAGGCGGGAGATGAGAGCAAGCAACAGGGGTTGACAACAGCAGTGGGTAGGCTCTGTCTTACCTGTTCCAGGACTTGCAATGTCAGCCGGGTCATCTGATCTGTCACCGAGGAGTCCAGCATCCTAACAACTGTATAAGAGGCCACCGAGAAGTGCGAGGCTGAAGTCCCACTCTGCCTTGGTTACATGCAGCAAAGAGCCTCCTTAGGGGTCATGTTGCCTCAAGACAAGAAGAGAAGAGTAAATAAGAGATTGACTGTGCCTCCCTGGACTCCAGTGCCAGAGCCTGCCCTGGAGTCTGTGACAGTTGCCACTCTGTGGAAGTGAGGTCTTGGGTTGGTTGCTAGGATGCCTCTGGGAGTCCTTCCTGGGCTCTGTGTCCAGTAAATGGGTTGCCTGTAAACACTGATCCACAGGCGTGGCCAGGCACATATCAGCGGGGAGGTAAAAGGCCAGGGGGACATACTTCAGATTTCCTCCAGCACCACTTACCCAGGGAAGTAGTGCAAAGGAATGAGTGAAGGACTCCCCATCTCCCGGAGATCCACACCCACTGTTGTTACAACCAACCCCTGTTGTTGCTCTTCGCTAATCTCCTGCCTCCGCAAACTGCCAGGAGAAGTTCCTGCTTCCAGAGCAAGCCTCCCACCCCCACCCCCCACCCCCCCAAGCCCCCCCAGTCTGGCTTCTCAAGGAGGAGCTATGACTTCTTGTTTGATTTTTTTTCTACAGCGTAGAACTAACTACGTTCTAGCAGTTTCCAAAGTCGGGAGGCAGGCTGTACCTACCAGCAAGTGTACTTCTGGTGCACAGCCCTATAAAGCTGCCTCTGTGACACTTGGTCCTTACTTGGAACCTTCAAAGAATAAAGGCAGTGTGACTGGACACCAGGAGGACCATGGGAAAGGAGCCTCCTGGGGGTTTCAGGACATTTTTTTGTAGCAGAGGCTTTGGCCAGAGAGGGGTCAAGTGCACTTCCTAAGGGGGCGCCCGGCCAGAGGGTACAGACAAGAGTAAAGAAAAGGAGGTCACATATGGGGGTGGAGGCTCTAAACCAAATGGGGTGTAAATCAGTGCCTCCTCTTGAGGAAGGAGATGAAGCTAGGCCATAGCAGGGTCTAAGCCCTATGAACCTGAGAGACAATCAGGGTAGGGTCAGCACCCCCGGAACCCAGCTAACTCTGGACACCGCATCCGATTGAAGGCGAGTTAGAGGGGCAGACATAGACAAGGAAAGCAAAAGCAGGCCCCCTGAGATGGTGGCTTCTTTTCTCAGAAGACATTGCTAGGAGAAACAGCAAGGCATGGGAGTGGGTATCATAAACGGGACCGATAAGGGAAAGCAGGAACTATCCTCAGTTGGGACATCTATGATGTTTTCCCTCTGTTTGACTTGGCCTGTGGCTCTCTGGGAGTTAGTGCCTTTCTTATGACATTGTACTGAAGTCATAACCTATCAACACAACTTACCCCTGCCATGCTGACCCTAGAAGCAGCAAACCTGTTTCTCTGTTGCAAAATGCGCATCCTCTTTCTGTACTGGCCTCTCTGGTAGGAAGTTGCTAGGCACAGTAAATGTTTACAGGGTAGGGAGCCATATCCAGTGCCTGTGAGAGCATCCGTGTAACTCACTTCAATAACTTTTAATACTAAAAATAAATTGAAACAAGATCCAAGTGCTATTCTTGCAGAACTGCTTTCACGTTTATAAACGGCTTTCTGCGGCCGTTGGCTCAGGTGAACTGGGCACATGCTCCCCCATTGCCAGTAGTAAATGGATAAAAAAATAACTTTAAAACTCAAGATTCTGGTATGACTCGGGGCTTTGGTGGTTCTTGGGAAATCTGATCTTGCTGTCTTTCTGGCCCCTTCTTCTAATGAGCCTACTCTCTCATTTGCACACAACTGCCAATTCTGAATCTGGGAGTCGAGAGGATTCCACTCACCAAGGAGGACTGCCATTCGGCCCAGAGAAGAGTACTTCTTTGTGGTTTCCAAAACTTCCTCAAGTTTTGTTTACATTGCAGGCACTTAGGTGCGTGGTTTCCACTGAGGCCGCCTGACAAGTCTGTTGGTGAAGTTACTTCTTTGCGTTAAGGGAAGGAATTGTTTCTGCTTTTGTCTGAGAGGAGGGAGGAAACCCAGTCATGCAGACCTCCACAATAAACCATGTTCAGCCGGAGGTGTGGGTAAACTGAGCGGAAAGTACCCCAAACCCACTGATCTACTATCAAGAAGGCGTTCAATGCATTAAGACAGTGGGGTTTATCTGAAGAAATAAGAGAGGAAAAAGCTCAGGCCTGCCCTCCTGAGCCCCCATCTTTCTTTCGAGGTCCTCTAACTACAGAATTATAGGGGGCTGTGCTACCCTGCTCGCTTCACCAGCCAGGGCTGCAGCATGGTTGAGTTTTGTGGATGTTCACTTTTTTCCTTACCGGGAAACCATCAAAAGGTACTGAAACAGCTTAAAAAACCGTCAGTGCCCAGACTCCACCCCCGCCTGCCCTAGGAACTACACTTGCCAATGAACAAATGGCTCCCCATTCCTCTTCATAAAGTGTTTTGCAACACCAAAAGGACCCTCCTTCCCTGCTGAGAAAGGGTCCTGATATGTAAAAACAGTCTGGAGGTACGGCTTCATGTGATGTTTACAGTATCAAAGGTTACTGGTAAAGACCCCCTCAGCTGCACCAGGTGTGATGTGATTATAGACCTTTGACTTTAAAAACCATTTCCTCAGCCAGGCGGTGGTGGTGCACGCCTTTAATCCCAGCACTCGGGAGGCAGAGGCAGGAGGATCTCTGTGAGTTCCAGGCCAGCCTGGTCTACAGAGTGAGATCCAGGACAGGCACCAAAACTACACAGAGAAACCCTGTCTCGAAAAGCCAAAAAAAAAAAAAAAAAGAAAAGAAAAAAGAAAAAAAAAAAGAGGGCCTCTTTCTGTGTTGATTGTAAGGGAGGGTACAGTGAAATCACGGAACCAGGCACTGTTGGTGCAAAGAAAGGTTTATTGGGGAAATTCACGGTGTGATGGCAATCTCTTGAGAGACAGAAAACAGCAAAAGGTGGAGAAAGCTTTGCCAGTTTTAAAGGGGTGTGTTTGCAGTGGGAGGAAGCATGTAAGTGGGAACAGCCCGTAAGTTAGAATGGTGGTGGGTAGGAGGGTCTGAGGTGTTTTGTAGGCCAGAAGAGCCTTGGAGCTTGTGACACGGGTTACAGGTATGTGTTAATAGGAAACTTGATACCCCATTGCTGGAGGTATGGCTATAGGGGTGGACAAGGAAAGTAACTGCTCTCTCTGACAAACCTGCTTCACAAGTTTATGAGAAATGATTTTTTTCAGGCTCGCTCTTTCTTTTCTTTTCTTTGCTTCTTCTTCTTCTTCTTCTTCTTCTTCTTCTTCTTCTTCTTCTTCTTCTTCTTCTTCTTCTTCTTCTTTTTCTTCTTCTTCTTTTTGGTTTTTTTGAGACAGAGTTTCTCGGTGTAGTTTTGGTGCCTGTCCTGGATCTCACTCTGTAGACCAGGCTGGCCTCAAACTCACAGAGATCCACCTGCCTCTGCCTCCCAAGTGCTGGGGTTAAAGACATGTGCCACCGCTGCCCGGCTAGGCTTTTTCTTTAACTGCTAGCAATCCTTCTGTTCACCTGGTCAGAGTCCAGCCTGAGCTGAGTCTGGACTGTCATTTAGGAGATCGTGAATGGCGCTGCCATTTTGGGGGCCGACTTTGGCTCTAACAGTGATGTCATTGGAGATTCAAGTGTATGAAAAGAAGATCTTGGATGCTAGGTTTAAAACATTTGGCTGCCTTTCTGCAATTGCCTCCAGCTCTGTAGCCTCCAAATGGGTGAGAGTAAAGGCAGTGGAGGAAGATTTGATTATTAAAAACACAGATACTGCCCAGGAGCTCTGCCTTCCATCCATGAAACTGCAGCGCTCAATACCAGTGGACCCCATCAAGGCCTCCCTGGCTGATTACACACTGAAATAAGGCTCCAAGAAAGAAGAGGATGCTATGGAATAATCCTTTTATACACTGTGAAGATTTGTCACTCAAATTGGTTTAATAAAAAGCTGATTTGCTGATAACCAGGCAGGAAGTATAGGCAGGGTAACCAAACTAAGGATGCTGAGATGAAGCGGGGAGTCAAGAGAGTCATGAGGAGACACAGAGAAGCAAGATGAGCATGCCATACTGAGAAAAGGTACCGAGCCACATGGCAAAGCATAGGTAAGAAATATGTGTTAATTTAAATGTAAGCAGTAGCTAGAAACAAGCCTGAGCTATCAGCTGAGCATTTATAATTTATATTAAGTCTCCAAGTCAGTTATTTGGGAAGTGGCTGCCAGTTATTTGGGAACAGGTGGTCAGGAAAGGAAAACTCCACCTACAAGAGACAGAGAAGCAGTGAGTCCTTGGTGAAGCTCCAGCTAGTCACAGCAGCTGCTTCCTTGACATGCATTCACCTGAACATCCAGCTGCCCTCACACCATATCAAAGAACTATAAGGAATGCACAGTATCCACCATTCACATTGTTACTCTATGCAGGCAAATACACATCTAAGTAGTCTTTCTGCTCACTTGTCACCTTAATGCATTTAGTGTTTTGAATTATTTGTGTGTGGTCTCAGAACTGAAATCAATACTGAAGTCTTAAGTTTTGATAGCCTGTGGAGTGCTACATGAAGTTTGACCTAAATCTGTTTGTGGGGAAGATTGCCTGTAGAATGCCTTGTTCTGATTATTTGACAGGATAATCCTGTGTATTTAAAAGTTCTGCATATATAACAAAAGAATGTCAGGCAAAACAAAAACAGAGTGGCTGCTGCTTGATGTTGGGGTTACTTCTTCCCCTCACCCCTTGGAGGAGGAAGCTAGCCACTTCCTGCTCTCCAGCATGTGATCCTCACTTTCCTGGCTTCGAATGCTGCCCCATTCTCAAGTCTGACACTTTCGTTTTCTCCACATTGGTCTTCTTCCCAGGACATTCAATTCTTTGTCCATCCTATGGACTGAACTGAGTGGTACTCCTTGATGACCACCCCTTACCCCAGACCCCTACAACATTCTGAAAGAACAGCGAGTGCCCCAACCCCCAAGGCACTGCTCAGCCCCAATATTTTAATTTTTGATTATATCTTAAAGATTTATTTTTATCATTTCAAATTACGTTGTATACATACATTATGTGTATGTATGTGTCTATACATGAGTTAGTGCTGTTAGGATCAGAGGCATCTAATTCCTCCTG